ATTTTCCTGTTGACCACAGAAGACGCAAGGCAGCAGAAGTGGCTTCCAGTCACCTTGGTAGCCTGTGGATTTCAGGTTACTGCAAGGACTGAAGTAGTCCATTGGGAGAAAGAAACTCTTCAGGGCTCTCGGATTCGCAGCAGCAGCCTCCTCAGAGAATTGCCTGCGATCTGGGACGAAATACAAGAAACCAGTCGAGGAGGTGGTCAGTGATAAGGGAAAGACACAGACTGGCTTGCTGTGTCTTGTCTTGGTGGCTTGGTGCACCTGCACTAACCCCAGGTGAATCAGCAGGGTTAGTCCATTGCAGTCAGTCTCCCTGGAGTTTTTCATACTTACAAAAGCCCGGCATGTTGGGAAGCAGGACGGAGAATAAGAGCTGGCATCGCTACACCTGCATCTCCATGAGCAAACAGCGCTCATTTTCGTCACTGGTGCTCCAACGGATGCAGAAACCTTTTCTTCCAGCGCCATTTCCTGCAACCGTGCTCTGGCAAGTTCATCGCAGCCTAGAGTTACAACCTGAGCATTGCTCGGTCTGGAGCTTGCTCCGTGGCAGATAAAAATAGGGCTTGAGCTCCAGCCAAGCCATGTCAGCGGTGAGGGTGCAGTCTCTGTAGCCTGTTAGGGCTTGCAGCCCCTGGTAGGTCTGGTGCTAGATGGGTAGTCACACCTATGGAGGGGTGAATAAGCAGGGTCACGCTGCCCGGGTCCCACCTCTGTGGCGCAGGGCAGCAGCTTGCCCAGAGGTGCCTTTGTGCTGAGAGGAGGTGAAGGCAAGGCACCTGGCCAAACCCAGCCTGCAAATTTGGCAGCGGCAGGAGCGTAGGGCTGTGTCGGTCAGGCTGCGGGAAGGCAGCTGCGGGCGAGCCCAGGCCTGTGCCTGTGGGCTGCTCTACTGAGCAAGCCGTCCCAGCTCATGGTGAGAGATACGGCCCAGAACCATTGTAAGCCAGACCCTCTGCAGCAGGTCCTGGGAAGGTGGAGGCACGTTCAGAAGCAGTAGCCTTGCCTGGACTTTCTGTCACATCTGTTGTCGTCTTCTAGTCCTAATTTCTCTACCCCTCTGCTGTTCTTCTTCCCGTCCTCCTCTGCTTTCTCGTGCCCCCTCGCAGACTAGCAGGTCCTTCTGACACCAAGGCGCCCTGTGTCACGAGCACGGCATGCCTGCGGTCCTGCGGTTCGACCGGTTGTGAACAGGGCTGAGTCAGTTCAACCCAAAGAGGCAGTGACTCGGGACGGCTTCTTCTGCGGTTACGAGCTGCTGGAAGCCCAGTGTCCCACGCCTGCCGCAAGCGCTGCGTTTAGCTGCGGGTCTGCAAGCAGCTACTGCCCTCCCCAGTAAGCGCTGTTCTTCTTCCCGTCCTCCTCTGCTTTCTCGTGCCCCCTCGCAGACTAGCAGGTCCTTCTGACACCAAGGCGCCCTGTGTCACGAGCACGGCATGCCTGCGGTCCTGCGGTTCGACCGGTTGTGAACAGGGCTGAGTCAGTTCAACCCAAAGAGGCAGTGACTCGGGACGGCTTCTTCTGCGGTTACGAGCTGCTGGAAGCCGAGTGTCCCACGCCTGCCGCAAGCGCTGTGTTTAACTGCGAGTCTGCAAGCAGCTACTGCCATCCCCAGTAAGCGGTGCACGATGGGTTTTTAAACAGAATGTAACTATGAAATGATTGCAACGTTAGGAGGGCATTCTGTGGGGAAGGAATGATTAATTGTATTCTTTCTTGTTGGTCTTGTTCTCTCAGTTCCGTAACATCCACAATAAATTACTTCGGTAAGTGTTCTTACATTATGTAGTTGTACTAAACACAGCGCATCACTGGAAATCAAGCTTCGTTTTTCCTCCTTTGTATATTGCCCGTTACAGCATATCTGGCAGTTCGGTTAATGGCCTGTGAAGCACAACTGAAACCAAACTCTCCGTCTGTACCTGCTCCTTCTCTGAGGTGCTGACAAGAAGAAAGTGACCTGTGGATAAATTCAGCACATGTGACTTGGAAGACACAAGTGGAACATTAAAGGCCATTTCTACAATGTAATTAATATACTGTAGCATTAAAGCAACATTTACCCAATGACAGAAGTGTTCTCTTTGTGCTTTCCACTGCTGGTTTGCTCACGATAAAATATTACTAGAATCCACCTCCACCTCGCCTCAGCAGAAAGTAGCTTCGGACAAGTTTGGTTGCGAACGAACGTATTTGCTCACATAGGTTGCTCACGCCACAGCTTCTGTCAGCAGCCGGCAGCGAAGCCCCTTTCCAGCATCCAAGTTTGCACGAGGGCCTGGCAGGGGAATGTGCTCGTCCGCTCGCAGCCAGCATCAGTAAATCACAGCGTGACGGGCTCACCGCCCCGCCGCTGAACTTTTAACTTGAAGCTCTAGCAGGGCGCTGAGCAGCGCCGGCTACATGACACGGCGCTGCGAAAGTAAATCACTTCACGGGGAACAAGGGGAAGTCCAGCATATTTTTTTGCAGACTTTGCCTACAGCTTCTTTGTGGTATAAGCACAGAATATAGACGGCCGGGAAGGCAAGTGGAGAGAGATGGACTTCCAGCGCAGAGCTCACCCGTACCCCATCCCGGAGGATGAAGAGGTTTCACACAAGGTCGCCCCCGATGCTCACAGCTCTGCTGGAAACGAAGGCGAGAAACCGGTGTCAAAATTGCAACGTAGGCACAGTGACATAAAACTCTACAAAGAGTTTTGTGACTTTTATGCAAGATTGTAAGTTCGTTCTCTTTGGCCTCAGGGTGTAACTACGGTGACATTATTGGCGTATTGTACATGTGTATTTTATTGTCTGAGCTCCGAGCAGGCTGTGCAAGCCATTCTCTAGTGCAGCCTTTGCCACTGTTCTGCTTGACACATTGCCATTGTTGTAATCGTCAACTAAAATCTGAGCTGTTGATTTAAACTTCATTAACTGCGTCAGCAATTTTTATCAGCAGTTGAAGGAGGGTTGGAGTTTGTCAAGTAGTCTCTCTGGCTTTAGATTGTTTGGCTATATTAAACTGCTTCACTAGTGCAGAAGTGTCACGTACATCGCTGTTTTTACATGTGTGATGTATTCTCAAGTGAAGTACTTTTGCATACTGAGGAGGAAAGCTTTGTTTTCATTTGGTTTTGAACTTTGTTTCATGTTTTTGCTTGGATTATACTTTGTGTCTTACAGCATGTAACATTAAATACTTTTTAGAGACTAACTCCTCAGTGCTTGAGAACTGCTGAGGTGATGATGAACCTCCAGTTTCTGTTGTGATTATTCTTCGTTTAGATTGATAAGGAGGACAGGTGAAGTGACTTGAGTTTTTCCCCCACAGGAAGCATACACAATCCATGGAAACCATCGGCGAGCTTTATGGTTAACCACAGTTTGTATGTATAATCACTGCAGTTTATCTATAGGCTTGTCTGTTATGTGTGGGATAGACCATTCTCCATTTGATCTCCTTGTGAAATTTGCCCACTCTTCATTTCACTGAGAGGGCGGTGAATATTTGCGTAGCAGTTACTGTCTTCCTCTTCTGCAAAGACCTCTAGAGAGAGGGGGGAAAAAAAAGCCAGCTAATAATAACTGGTCAGATGTGACCTTGCTTAGGGCTCTTCTGTGAGACAGTGTAAGAAATAGATAAAGCACATTCCTTTTCGAAGCACGTGCTAGGTGTTTGCTTGCTCCCTTGGATGCTGTGCAAGGAATGAGTTCAGTTCCTATTGAACCTGGTGGGAGCCAAGAGGTCTCATCCTCTCGGAGGCAAAGGCTTGGCATCTTGAGGAGGACTCTGGTCCTGCATGTACAGGCGCAGCGTGATGGCCGTATCAAAACGCGTGCAGGCGTGCCCATGTGTTTAAAATAATGTCAGTTGTTTAACAAGCTTTTAGATACATGTCTGAGTCGGTGGTTTTGTGGGCTGTGGTCCGATTGTAATGGAACTAGACCATTGCCCTGTATTTGCTCTCTGCAATCAGTGGTATTAGGGCAGAGAGGTGATCCTGAAAGGCATAGCTTTGAGGGTCTAGATTCGAGTAGGAAAATGCTTGCAAAGGGAAAATCAAGTGAGCCTTCTTCTGGCCTTAATTAACTGAAACACAGCTGTGCTGTCTTCTGCAGATGTAGACATGATCCTAGTGAAGTGGCTAATTCCTCTGATAATATGCAGTTACTGTGCTGTCATCTCATGGTCACGTGCCTTTGAGAAACAACCAAGGCTGCAACTGGAGTAATTTTTGCATCTCGGGCATGGGTTTGCCAGCTTGTGTTGGCCTGTGTGTGGGTCGCAGTGGGGCAGCCAGAGCATTCCCACCCTCTCCCCTGGCGTTGGACCAACACCGGCACGCCGTGAGCTGACCTCCCTGAAATGAACCCTAACAAACCAACCAAAAATCCCATGGCTTCAAACTAAATTTGTAAAATTACTTCAAAGCTATGCAAAGCTTACTGTAAGGATTACTTGTTTGCCTGCTCTGGTTTTCTGTAGTATCTGCCAGGCTAGATACAATACCCTCCTTCACATTGTGCACTTAGAGCTTTGGAACCAAAGCTGTTACATGTATTTTAGAATCAGAAATTATTTTGGAGTTATCATTTATGTTTTCCTGTGTGATGCCGGTCCTCAATTATTGTTAATATTTGCATTTGTTTTCTGAAATTCTAACGTATTTCATAATTTTTATAGCGCTTCTTTGAAGTGCCTGCCTTTTCTCATCATAAAATGCCTGCAAATGTAATTACGCTTCTGTTTGGATTTTGAAATGAATAGCTATTAGAGTGCATTGCAGGGTTTTGATTCTATAGAGTTTGGGAGCAGGGGGGAATGGCACTTTTATTTCTGAGGTGATGCCACAAGTCATTAAGTCCATTGAAAAACTTGTGTTGAGCAGCCTAGCATTAGGCTGATGCAGTTGGCTTTGGGGAATAAAAAAAAAGAGACCCACAACCAGTGGTGTTGCCTATTTGGGCTCATTTTCTTTCTGTGGTGTTTTTTTTTTTTTTCAACAGCAACATGGCAAACGCACTTGCAAATGCCATCTGCGAGCGCTGCAGAGGTGGCTTTGCCCCTGCCGAGAAAATCGTCAACAGTAACGGGGAGCTGCACCACGAGCAGTGCTTCGTCTGCGCCCAGTGCTTCCAGCAGTTCCCCGAAGGGCTCTTCTACGAGGTAAGCCCCCGTCTCGCCCCCAGCCTTTGCCTCGCGCCTTCATTCCCGTACCAGAAGTAACTACGGGCCGATCGATAGCTTAGAAAGTCGAGGTCAAGAATGGGGCTCCGAAAGGGTATGCCCGATAGAGGGAGAAAAAAGCAGAAGCGTTTCTGTGCTGATTTGGAGGACATCAGTGTGTGTAACCTTATTTAAATGTACCCTAACTTACCAGATCTGAGAAAAAACCTGCTGGAGACTTGTCTCTCAGTGTTGATTTTTTTCCCTGAAATCTGTAAAGACAATCTATGTATCATATCAGAAATACAGAGAAAGCATACTTAGAGGAGAACGGTCCCGTAGAGGGAACCCCCAGCATCCTGCGGTCCATAGGAGGTTTAGATATTGCTGAGTTGTGTGGGGCCAACACAGCACGTGAGAAGTTTCTCGTAGAGGTGGCCTGTAAATCAGCGTGCTGAGATCAGGGCGTGCGGAGAGCCCAAACCAGAAGGGGCCTATGTAGGGTCAACTTCAGGTTTAACAAACTGCAGCATTCAAAATGAGCAGTTCTTGCATGTTTTCAAGGGTTAAAACCCTCTCTCACTCATATTTCTCCTTCCCAGGTAGGTTGCCCTGAGCTCAGATGGGTATTTTGGTATCGGTGTTGTTTCCTTTTGCCTTCTCCTGCTGTGAGGATTCAGGATGTGGCTGAGCTATCTCAAGTACAGAGCGGCTTTAGTGAAAGCTTTAGACTAGTTCATAAAATATGAAGTGACTGGTGTACGGAAGGGTGGATGATGTGAGACAGGGAATTATTGTCTGAGAGAGAAGGTGCCGCTGAAGTAGCTTGTAGTCCAACCTGCAGTCGTGGCTGCAGGATTCGTGTCAGGCTGTGATCCGAAGAGGAAGGTATCACAGTGCTGTGCTCTCACATACAGTGTGCCACCCTTGTGGCAAGGGCACAGCAGTTTATCTCCCACAGCAGTATTTCTGGTTTTACAGAATTTGGCAGGGAGAGGCTGAGAGAGGAGCGTAGACTGGAAAGGAGACTGGCAAAGGGGATTCCTGGGGTTTGCTTGCTCTCGCCTTGTTTGAAGATCAAAAGACTTTTCAGTGCTGTGGGGATAGTGTTGCACAAATTGTGGTAAACAAGTCACTAGTATTCCGTAAGACATCAAAAGGTGAGCTGCAAGGCAGTAGCAATTAAAAAAAAACCAGCACAAAACACCCTCTAGATAATTCCACATTACATTGCAATTGTGAATATATACTGAGCTGCTGCCTGCATGCGGGCGTGGTAAGGAGTCCTGACGTGTTAAGACCCGAGGCAAACGTCAAGCGACACAAATGTTTTAAAATTAAAATACTAGTAACTGTGTTAATGAAATTATCTTAAAACAATAAAATGTATTTTCTCTGCATAATGAGTACTTTATTCATGCTTTTTCTAACTTGGAAAACAGTGGGACAATCTAGGGACCTCCTTCAGAAAGTTGAATGTCCTTTGTTTGAGATAAAAGTTTGACAAATCCTGCTTTAGGCAGCCTGTATCTCCTAGTGGACGGAGGAGGACCACGATGGAAAGAAACTCTTACATTTGCACCTAACCCAGGAATATTACAATGTCTCTGTGGCTCACGATGTCCATATCTGAATGTCCTTGGCAGGGGCAAGTATCCTGGTGGTGTTCAGATGTATTGGAAGTAGGCATTTTGTTTGCTGCTGCTACCTTGTTAACATCAGTACTCCTATTGGTCTTTGGGCACTCTCTTATTGCCAAGTGATGCTCCCTGTTTAAGACAGTAAGTCAGAAGTGAATGCTGGTAGGTTGTCCTGGGAATGAAAATAGACCCATGTACGAAACACGTTTTGGTTAATGTTGCTAGGTTTTTTTCCCAGGCTGGGTAGACGCTTTGTTCTTGAGAAATGTTTTATGGGAATTGCAAAGTTTCAGTTAAAGAATAGACACTTTTTGCCACAGCTATCATAGAGTTAAAATAATTGCAATGAGGATTAAATGAATCTGTAAAGACTTGTGTGTAGCTTGAATGTCACATCACCCTTCTGCCTCTAGCCCTTCCAGCGTCCCCCACAAGATCTTGCAGTTTCTTTCTGCCCCAGCAAGTCTGTCTGCTGCTGTTGAAGAGAGCTGCTTTTTGGTCTGTTTAAGCCCTCTCACAGCCTGCAGGTGATGGCTCATAAATCTTACCCGGCCTTCCTCCCCCATCTATACTGGCCTGTCCTGGGCATGTTCTAGAGAGTGGAGAGGTCAGTGGATATCCGTGCTGTCCCAGCCCTCATGTCTTTGGAGCTGTTTCAGCTGGAAAATCTTTGGCAGGGCCTTCTCCTCTGTCTCTGCACACTTTAGGCTGTCCATGCATGTCCTGTGCTGCCAGAAAGACTCTCACTTAACACTGAAGTGGCCAGTGCGATGACTGCAGTGGAAACCCCAGCATGTTTCCTGGTGGTGCTGCTCGGGGAGAAGGGGGGACAAGGGCACAGCTTGCTCTTCTCTTCTTTCGTTCGGCACCTGGGTACTAGAGATGAGAACGTACAGGATGACAGTGCTTGGGGGAGAGAGGGGAACAGACCTGGGGAGATACAGGTGGACTTAGGCTGGCCAGTGCTCAGGAGATGTCTGACAGCGCTCTGAGGACTGGAGATGATCTGTATCGCTGTCGAGAAAAAGTGACTGGAGAAGACAGGCAGAAAGGACATCTTCCTCTGACTGGCTTAACGGACTCTTTGAGAAGGTCGATGTGTTTGGAGGTGTGGGCCAGGTAACGTGATTTTCTGAGCAGGTTCCTCGTGAGTAAATGCAGGCGTTGTTGGTTGCCCAGCAGGAGTCTGTGTTTATTCTGTGCCTGGTTTAGCTAAGCGAGTGTTTCTTGGAAATGATTTCCCGTTCGTAGCAATCGGGAAGTCAAATATTCTTCCCCTGCCTGTCACAAGCCTTGCGGAGTTCCCCCAGTTAGTCATTAAGCTGCTTATCGCGTTTGCCGTCAAGCGCTGCCGTAATAAGCTTTCACGCTGTGTTCCACGGGCGGGG